GCTATAGACCCGGGGAAGGATGTGCTCCTGATTTCAACATCTTAGAAAATTGAACAATGCAATCACTTGGAGATTTTTTGCATGATGTGTTTGTTGTCACCAATATTGGTAGTTCTGGAAAGTATTGAATTATCAGAAGAATAAATATCATGCCGCATTGGACCTATGCTGACTCTATCATATATTAGAAAGTTGCGATAATATGAACCCCATCCAAGGAAAATGTATGCTTGAGGTTTGAGAATATTGCAATAGATCTCGCCCTAGGTCCGGCTTCTTGGTAGAGGGTATTGCAGGTGGCATTCTTATGTTACTGTTGAAATGCACATCTACATCTTAGAAAAGAAAGAGGTTCAAAATCTCTCCTGTTTGGGTTCATTTGCAGTTGGAAATTGTCATTCTATAACCGTGCCTCTCTTCCCTCTTCAGCCAAAAGAAAACTTCCCTTGTTTGTGCATGTGTATGTTCAGGGAGGGAATTTCTTACCTACCATGCCGTCTTTTTTTCCTTCCATGCCTTGTAACAATTTTTTTTTATTCCATTTCTTGTTTACTTCGCTAATATCCTAGCTGCATGCTGATTGTTATTTTGAGTAGGCAGTCAATCAGGAAGCTTTTACATACCTGAATGGCTCGAAGGAATTTGTGCAGATTAACCATAATGATTTGTATCCATATCTACTTGTTAATATTGGATCTGGAGTTAGCATGATCAAGGTACCCATATCAGCATCAGATCCGTTTATGTTTTGTTTTGTGTATCTAAAACCTTTTTGTAGATTAACTAATAATTCAGCTTTCTTCTAATACAGGTGGATGGAGATGGAAAATTTGAGCGAGTTAGTGGAACAAGTGTTGGTGGTGGAACTTTTTGGGGTTTGGGAAAGTTATTAACAAAATGCCAGAGGTAGTTTGATTCGTTTCCTCATTTTTGGCCAATTATGAATTCCCTTATACATTGTTTCATATTTAGTGGACACTGATGTGTTTCCTTTCTCAGTTTTGATGAGTTGCTGGAGTTGAGTCATCGGGGAGATAACAAAGCTATAGACACACTTGTTGGGGATATCTATGGTGGGATGGATTATTCAAAGGTATATCCAAGTCCTTTCTTTAATTTATAAGTTTATTTTTTGCCAGTTCAGCTATTTTCATACATCGCGTTGAAGTGCCTGTTCAGGGTCACAACAGCTTCATGCTTTCAGAATGATTTTTAATCTTTATAATTTAACTGCACAGTTCTTTGGTATGATGACAGATTGGTCTCTCATCTACAACTATTGCTTCTAGCTTTGGTAAGGCAACTTCTCACTGTAAAGAACTCGAAGATTATAAACCTGAGGATATTTCGTGGTCTCTTCTAAGAATGATTTCCAATAATATTGGACAGGTACCTTTCAGCAGGGCAGATCTGTTGTATGCTATAAATTGAATAGTATGTTGTCAAGATGTGTGCTATAAGAGATGCATGGTTTTGAAATTTAACAAATTAAAAGTTCTTACATACAAAAAATTTCTGGCAAACTAATGTGGCGAATGATGTATGGTGCTAGTACTTGCCATTTAAGCGTTATCTCATGGAATGGCATCCCTGCATTAAATGCTATTTCTATCAGTAAGATTTTACTGTTTAGCTTTTTTGTTTGTATTGTTTACTCTTTGAACAAATCATTTTGACAACCCTAGACCTCAATTGGTTGTTACGGATTTAGAGCTTTTCTATCCTTTTACTGAGATGGCTTGGAGAAATAAGAACCATTGGCCAAGGTTTTTGGAGCTGGAATCGTCTTGCCTTGATATTTAATTCTCAAAGATGGTTCCTGTCCCTTACAGTGCTGTTAAGAAGGGCATGGAACACTTGAGAGCTGCAAGCTATATCCAAACTTAAAATTTTCAAGACCTTACATGGCACATATCAAAAACTCTGCTTGGCATAATTGATTATTTTTCTGCTCTGTGTTTTTTTCTTCTGTTCTAAGACTGGCCATTTTTTTAGTTTGTTTGTGTTGCTAAAACGCCACACTAAGTTTTATTGTCATCGATCTTGAGTATTGATCACTTAAATTAACAGAGATATCTTGGGTTATTTTCAATTACTGCACTCTTGTTATCTCATTGCCTCATTTTACTCCTCTTCTCCCAGATCTCTTACTTAAACGCACTTCGATTTGGGCTCAAGCGCATATTTTTTGGAGGATTTTTCATCCGGAGTCACTCTTATACTATGGACACCATTGCCGTTGCAGTTCACTTCTGGTAATCATCTGGGATTTTATTGTTCACATTATCAACAACATAATGATTTTTGCGACTGTAGAGCAGTTCTCAGGTGGATCTTCATATCTTGATAATGAACACCTTCCAGCCTGTATGATATGGGATTTGCTAGAAAGCAAGGAGAGGGAACTTGTTATCGAAATATGCTTACAGCATCAAAAGAAAAAAAACTATTCTTAGTAATTGAAAGTGAAAGAAATTATCAATCATGGTAAATGACAAGTGAAATGCAATGAAACCTTACCAAAGATTCCATGCACTCAACTAATTCAAAATTCATCGTGATAAAACCAAAACAAATTCATCATTGTTTGGTGATATTATCCTTCTCTTCCCAGTTCATGTTTTCTCCTTTCAGATCTCTGCATTGAAAATACACCAATCATTTTATTTTATTTTGAATTTGGCAGGTCTAAAGGTGAGGCAAAAGCAATGTTTTTGCGGCACGAAGGATTTCTTGGAGCTCTAGGGGCATTCATGAGCTATGAAAGGCATAGCCTTGATGATTTGGTGGTTAATCAAATGATGCCGCTCCCAGTGAATGCATCCCTGGGCACGGATACAAATTATGATCCGCTGAACGGGGATATAAATGGGACCGAGAGCATACAATGCAGTGTCTATCGAGCTTAGATGTGGCTGTAACTTCCCTTCATGTGCTTTGGTGTGACGGAAGTTCGTTGGTACCACCGGAAATACTACAGGCCGAGGAAGTTCACAGACACTAGAGTAACATGGTGAAAACATCCTAGGACCAGTAAGTTTTATGGAAATAATTTAGCACCTGTAGCATAAAAGCATCAGTGAAAACGTTAAAAGAGAGTGACAGGTCAAAGTAATGCTTGTTACTTTCCCTGATTATTCATGTAATATGTTCTCTTTAGCCTCTGTTGTAATTTACAAAACTGAAATCTGTAACTTCATCCTTCAATAAAATCAATTCGCAGATCAAATTTAACATGTGAACTTCTACCTCAGCAATATATATATATATATATAAAAGAAAAAGAAAACGAGGACGAGGTACTATCACCCCCACCTCAGAGACACACATGTTTGGTTCAAGGGACTGATTTATAATTTTCAAAGATCAAAAGTAATATCTTACAGAATCATTAAAAAAAAATGGTAAAATGATTATTTTCTGTCCCTACCCCCGGGAAGCAGACATGAGATTTTATTCTATTGATGGTACGTAGCTTACTTGGCGAATAATTTTGTTACCTCATGATTATAGTTTAGATGAGTAAAAAACTCAATAAAATATTGGTTTCTATAAAAAAAAAATGAAAGAAAGAAAGAAAAGGAGATATGATGAAATATTTTAATTAAGAGTAATCAAATGACCCCACTTACATGAGTTTTAAATTAACCTTGATGGAGTCAATAGTAAGTATAGTAAGTATCTTCATATTTATTTTCTTTTTTATGAGAAAGTGTAGAAGTCTATTTCTTTATATATATATATATATATATATTCAAATCTCAATTGAGTCTAATGATTAAGATTTAATATAAATTAGATAGATTTCTAATATTTCTAAATAATCCCTTTGTATCAATCAAAAAGTTTTATGTTATCCCTAAACATTAAATAGCTGGTTTTAAATTTAATTTTCAAGTTTTATCATATTTATAAGGATCCCAGTTAAAAAATGGTGTAAGAAAGGTATAAGAGCATATTTGTTTTTAGGTTTCAAAACCCTTTTGAAAAAAAATCTTTTTTACTTGAAATTAATTTTTTTAATATTTTTAAATTATTTTGATATACTGATATAAAAAAATAATATTTCAATGTATTTTTAATTTTTTTAAAATTAACTGTTATAATAAATACCAAATTAGGTCTAAAAAAAAGATAAAAAAGCGAACCAAATGAGCTCTAAAAAAAAGATAAAAAAGCGAGCTTTCTATAAGCTATTTCACCGTGAGGGTAAAAATCTTTTGGAAAACCCTTTAGAATCCACAAGGACACCATTATTAAATTGAAAACTATAGAGATAGAATTGCAAAATTGATGAATCTTTGTGGGACAAAACATAAAGTTTACATAAAAAATATCGCTGCTGTTAACATGGCTCTCTCCTGGTAGCAATATTGCAGCCACGCGCAGTTACACAAACAGGGACTCCAAGCCAATAAGCAATAGCAGAAACGTACAAGATGCATGCTCTTCCATTTTGATTTCAAGATACAGCAAATCTTGTCCATTTAGCTATTTGAACCAAAGTGAAATGCGATGTTAATATATCATAATTATCATACATGATCGAGAGAAAAATTATAATTGACTATGAAGGATGATGGTGACGAAGATGATTCTGCTGCTAGGCCGTTAAAACTGACATGTCCTTGCCGTCGCCTCTGCCTGCTGCCGCCCGTACTCTGCTTTCTGCACTCTGCAGGCATCAGATTCCCCCTCTGTCACAGATTTGCTACTTCTAATAAAAAAAAAATGTAAATCCAGAAAAGTAAATACACCTATGCTAGATAACAACAGAGACGTGGCAGTTTTGCATTGGTTTAAAATTATATGAGTAACATGAATAAACCAGTAAGAAATGTACACGTCTGCAATGTGTCAAAATTCGAAAGAAATATATACAGTCTGTTACACCCAGAGTGTACTAGACTGCTAGGAGCGACAGCATGTGCTTTTTTTTTTTTTTTTGGCATAAATATTAAAGGGATTGCCGCTGCCTGCATTTTCCTTTCCTATATAGGAATGCATGAAAAGAGTTGATAAGCATTGAGGCAAAGGGCAGAATACTAAAATTAGAGGTAGACATGAGAGGATTGAACAGAGCAATGGAACGGCTTAGACCCCTTGTTGACTCCAACGCTTGGGATTACTGTGTTGTATGGAAGTTAGGCGATGACCCTTCAAGGTGCTCACTACAAATTAACAGCACATTGATGTTTATATATAAAGTGTTTGATTGATGATTTTGTTATCTTTTTAGGTTTATTGAGTGGGTGGGTTGCTGCTGCGGTGGCTGCGGTGGCGGTGGTGGCTTCAATGTGGAAAGGGACAGAGGAGAAGACAACCTATTTGGGCGGGGTCCTCTTTGTAAGGATGTCTTCTTTAAGCATCCAGTCAGAACAAAGGCTTGTGAGGCTCTTTCTCGGTTCCCTTCTTCCATGCCTCTGTATTCTGGGTACTCTTCTCTTCTCTACTCCTACATTTATTTTTATTTATGTTACTTTAGCCAAACATAATACCATCTAATTGCTAGAAACAGGATTCATGGAGAGGTGGTGATATCAGCTGAGCCCAGATGGTTATGCCATGCCACGGTCACTACTCATGACTCTAATACCCTACGTGTGAGTTTTTTCTTCAGTCTCTCGATTTCTGGTTAAGAAAAAAATTGTTCTGGTTTCCAATAATATAGTATTAATTCCTGGCATTTGTAAGAAACTAGCTTCTTTCTATCATATGCAAAACCACAATTTATTGATAATTTAACCATACATTTATTGCTTTAAACCCATAGTTGAAAGGATTTGACAATGACTAGGGTGATAGTTTTGTTATTTATTAACAGCATTTTGTATAGTAACTTGAAAAACATTGCTTCAGGAAGTAGCTGGAACTCAAGTCTTGATCCCAGTAATTGGTGGACTTGTTGAGCTTTTTGCAGCAAAGCATGTAAGTCTTTTACTCGGTTTTTTGCTATAGAAAATTAATTTCTGCTAATGTGATTTATGTGTGAAAATGTCATTCAATATTTTCAGATGAAAAAAGATGAGAAGATGATAGAATCTCTTAGAGCTCATTGCCATGTCCCTGTCAAACAAGAAGCCGTGACTGATCATGGGTATTCCAATTCGAGCTTCAACGACCACCATCTTGATTCATTGCTTGAAGATAATTTGCCGCATTCCTGCCACTTGTTAAGTCTAATTCCACAGACACAGTTTCTTCTCCCATTAACGCAGCCCCGTAACTGTATTAGTTTTGAAGGATCATCTAGCGGTTCCAATCCTTCAAACGAAGCTCCATCATTTGTTTCAAATGCGAGTCAACTGCCGCAACATGGACATTTGGAATTATCAGTTGGAAAATCCAATCACGACGAGAACATTCTGAAGCAACGAGCAGGTTCTGCAGATTGCAACAAGAAAGTTCCAAAAGTTATGAGGAAGCCGGAAAGAGATGACTACAAATCTAAGAATCTCGTCACAGAAAGGAACAGGAGGACAAGGATTAAAACTGGCTTATTTGCTCTGCGTGCCTTGGTCCCCAAGATTTCCAAGGTTAACATAGCTGGATATATTTCTGCTACTGAAGAGAGCTATTCTCTGTTGTTTTTGTTGCTGTTGTTGTTGCTGTATGCTTTCTTCGAGTAACTCTGCATTTTATAAATGTTACAGATGGATAAAGCTGCAATTCTTGGAGATGCAATTGATTACATCGGAGAGTTGCTAAAGGAGGTGAAAAACCTCCAGGATGAGATCAAGAATGCTGAAGAAGAGGAATGCAGAGCGAGCAACATTGAACTAAAGACTTCAAAACTGGAGATCTTTCAGGAAGACCACGTGTCTTCTTCTAAGATCAACCAGGATTCTTCTGGTTTTGTAGAAAAGAAGGGGGCGGAGGTATAGAGAGCTTTCTAAACCTGGTTCGGTTTTTATTGCAAATCCTAAGATCATTATTCACATAGATTTTTGGACAAAACAAGCTGAGCATTCAAGTTTAACAGGCTTCATGAGACAATCAATTTCTTAACTGACCTTTTCCCAGGTGCAATTAGAAGTGGACCAGATTAACAAAAGACAGTTCCTGCTAAAGTTCCTTTGTGGACAGAGGCAAGGAGGTTTCGGGAGGTTGATGGAAGCTATCCATTCTTTGGGGCTTCAAATCCTTGATGCCAATATTACAACATTTAATGGCAGTGTTCTGAACATTCTCAAGGTCGAGGTAAGATACAACACTGAATCCTGATATTCAGCTGGAATCAAAATTCAGACCTGGGTTCCACATAAATTCAGCTACACAAGCTTGTTTTCCACATAAATTCACCAAAAATACAAGAATTTGCAAAAATATTTTCAAGTGCAAAAACTTCCATGACAAGATGAATTTCAGCTGTTCTCTGCTAGAAGCCCCATTTCTCTTTTTCTGCTTTATTTATTTGCATAATTGTAGATAATTATACTAACTTGCATCTACTCCTGCAAGGCGGATAAGGACATTCATCCAAAGACATTGAAGAAGTCATTGATCGAGCTAACAGGGAACCTAATTCGGACATTTGGTAGTCAAATTTAGGAGAATCAGGGAGTTCCTTTTTCTTTCATATTTTGAAGAGTTTAAAGTGGGAAAGTCGGCAGCTTCTCCATTCAGCCAGGGCTGTTATATTGATATACTAAAAAAAACAATGAGGTTTAAACGTTTGTTTAACATCAATATTAGCTATCTGTCGGAAACATTATTATCTTTACCTTCATTGGAACTTCTTTTGTACATACATTTTCATCAACCCGGACCTTGTACAGAAGCAAGATTAGGGAAGCCATTCTGGAAGTACTTTTTACAGATTTTCAACGCCTGAAACCAAGAAATCGATCCTTTTATATCCTCAATTTCAGCTTTTTCATGTAATTGTAACCATGCCCTGCATGATTCTCACATTATGTTGTGAAACTATGTGTGACTAAATCCAAACACCAGCCCACAATAAAAAGAAATACCAGACAAAAAGAAAGTGTACAAGAGAAAAGGGTAGCTTAGGTTAAAATATGTTCAAATTTACATCATAAGCAAAAGTTTCTTGCAAATATATATGCAATGCAACAAAACTTTTTTCCATCTTGTTCTGGTATCAGTCAGACATGGGTGCTCATTTGAGTAACACCCCATTAGTGAATACACAAGCTTCGAGTAAGATGAACTTTACAAGCTGTCCTTGAAAGTTCACTGCACCTCTAAGGTAGCTAAACATTGCAGTCAAATTTCACAGGAGTAGGGAAAAAAACTCGACGCTAATTAAGTCTGTCGAAATAAGCTGCAAGTTCTTTGAGATATAAACCTTCTGTGGTGCTAAACAAAGATTATCTTAAGAAGATCTACTGTTTGGCCATGTCACCTTTATCTAAACCGGTGGCCAACATAACTGCCAGTTCGGTTCATGGCTCGAGTTTCTGAATCGCTACTTGTGTAATCACCTGAAGTTGGTTGTTCCCGGGATGTGTCTCTAGCAGAGTAATCTCCACTGAAAGTGTCAAATTCTGAGCTTCCATTACTGACAAGAGCCATCCTCCGGAAATTACTAATCTCTTGATTGTACTGGCCTGAATCATATGCAGTGCTCTGACCAAATTTCACACCATTACTGAGATCCGACAATTCACCTCCACTATCTAATGCTCTCACCACCTAAAAGAGTATTCCAGGAAATTTAACAATCAAAAAGCAATTGTGCTCATTTTTGTTCTCCATCTATAAAGAATATTCCTGACAAGATTAGATATAAGAAAAAACAATTTGACAAGAGGCATAATCATCATCACCTGCATCATGCGCGGTCGCTTTGGAGCCAAATGGCGAACACAAGCAGCGGCTGTCTCAACCATTCTGAACAATTCACTCTCCACGTAATGCTTTTCAAGTCGTGTATCAACCAGCTCACCAAGTTCACCGGTTTCAAGTGCATGAATTAGGAGTGGACGAGCCTGCCACAATCATAAAAAACTATATGTATATATATTTGTTGAATGAATATGTAGATTGCAGGGAAGAAAATTTGGATATGCAAGTCGTCTAGCTCAAGGCATAACTAAATGGATATGGACAAGATAAAGTCGGCTTGTTTACAGGCAAACCATTTAGATGGGGAAAGAAATTAAGTGCTTGTATTAAAAAATTTTGCTCGATTTATGAACCATATCATATTATAGCCAGATGATGGTTGATATATAATACATTTCATTTGCTTCAATGCCAATTCATACCCATTCAACCAAGCTTTCATCCCCCAGAGGCTGACTTGCATCAACTGGTTTGCGCCCGGTTATCAGTTCTAGAAGCACAACTCCAAATGAAAATACATCAGACCTATCTGTTAGCTTTCCACTTGACGCATACTCAGGTGCCAAGTACCTGAAAACCAAATTGCGTAATAATATAGGGTTATGATTAACACCATTACTGTAGATTTTGTTTTGGAAGAAGGTGATAGATTGGATGGCAAAACTTGGATGATTTTTTTCTATTTCTTTGGAACATTTATAATTGGGAATCTCGCTTTACTACTATGATCCACATTCCAGGATAGATTTTGTTCATTGAGGGTGTTGAGGGTTTAGTCATTTACACCAAATCGAGAAGATGAAGGACAGGTAAGGAAGGTAAACACATGAACAGAGGACATGGAGTCTGAAAGGAGATTACATATTGCCGTAAACATACCCAAATGTCCCCATTACTCGAGTTGACACATGGGTCTGAGTAGTGTCATTTAGTCTGGCAAGCCCAAAGTCTGCAACCTGCACATAAGAAATAGCTCGCAAATAACAATGCAGAGCTAACAGAGAAACCGCATTTTGAAGGGAATCCAACATAGAAAGTCGTAGGCTTGCCTGCGCTTCGAAAGCATCATCCAACAGAATGTTCGCCGACTTAATGTCTCTGTGAATAATTTTCGGATGACCTAAAATTAGATCACAGGAAACTTAATTAACCTTCTTTTTTAAGAATTTCACTATCAGTATATTTAGTTACTTTCAGAACATGATCTAGATGCAGATTGAGCAACAAGATGAAAACAAGTTTTTGAGTAAATATGAGAGGAATAGTACACCACATAACCTATGTTAATTAAGGAGGAGAAGGATAGGATACGTACAATCTTCATGTAAATATGCCAAGCCCTTTGCAGATCCTATGGCAATTTTGAGTCTTTTAGGCCAATCCAACACAGGCAATTCTTTTCCTGCTTGCACAAATCAGGGACATAACCACTCACATAGCATAGGTTCCAGTAAGCAGCACTGGAGAAGGATACTTAAAATCAATATTTATAAAATGGAAAAGAAAAATCACCTTACCATGCAAATGATGCTCAAGAGTCTTATTTGGAACAAATTCGTAGATGAGCAAGCGCTGATTGTCAGAGATGCAATATCCCACCAAAGAGACCAAATGTCGATGATGGACACGACTGATAATTTCAACTTCAGCCTTAAATTCCCGATCACCCTGTCCACTACCGGCCTTTAGTTGTTTGACAGCCACTACCTTCCCATCTGCCATGCACCCCTTGTAAACACATCCAAACCCACCCTCACCGATAATATTTTGACGAGCAAATCCATCTGTTATTTCCATCAGCTCATGGTAGCTGAAAAAGGTCTTACCGGTGCCAATAACATCTGAATCAGGGCCCCCTCCATTGTACATATTCCCTCTTTGACTTCCGTGGCTTTCGGAGGGTGCAGATTGCAAATGATAAGAGGGACTTCCAGGTCCAGTGAGACGCACAGATTGTTGTTGCTGTCCGTAATGATATCCATCTTCAAAAGGAAAAATTAAAGAAAAAGATGAATCACAATAAGATACTAATTAAGCAATGAGAAGCATCACAATAGGCACAGTACTTTACCTGTTTTCAAAGTAAAACTTTTGGGAGGCATGTAATGGCCAGAAGCATTGGCCACCCGTTTTTTTCTGCTCTTCACAACTAAAAAGATTGCCGCAACTAGTGTTAGAAGAAACAAACCTGTGACTGCAGCCCCAACAGCCGCAGCTATGATTGTCTTGCCTTCAGCTTCGTTACTTTCATTTCCTGGTGCTGGTGGAGTCCTGGGCACATTGTGATTTGTTGCATTAGTGGAAGTCGATGATGGGTGGTCCGATGGTGAGGCTCCTGGAACGGGAGGACTATGAAATCTAGAGTCTGTTGGAACGCGCCCGGAATTTGACGGATTGCTATTGGGTGACACATTTGAAATGGGGGGAGACAAAGAGGGTTTGAATTCTGCTGGAGGAGGAGGAGATTGTTGTACATCTCCAGAGAGAGGCGGCGGGACAAATTTACCAGCAGGGGGAGGTGATGTAGCAGGAGGAGGAGGGGATGGAACGGCTGAAGAGGATGACTCTTTCTTGGCAGGGGTAGGAGGAGGATTAGGTGATGGAGGTGGTGAGTTTGGTGGCGGAGATATTTTAAGTGGTGGTGACGAATTTGATTTAGTTGAATTTGAGACTAATGGTGGGCTGGGAGGTGGAGAATGGTTGGACTTGGGAGGTGGTGGTGGTGGTGAAGGAGGAGGAGGAGGAGGAGATTTCGAGGTGGGTGGGGGTGAAGATGGTTCTGGTGTTTGTGGGGAATCAACAATAGTAGAATTAGGCGGTGGTGTAGCTGTGACATCAACGAGTGCCGCTGATTCTTTACCATCAGTAGCTGAAGGTGAAGGGCCTAAACTGAGGGTGGAATTTGTGTCAGCTTGCAAAGGAAAAGACTCGTTCGATGAAGAACCCGGCGGCGGATTCTCCACCGAATTCGACATTATCCTTATGATTATATATAGCTTTATTTTCTCCCCCCCTTTTCCTAACGGATTGTCGGGTTCCTCTCAAATCGCATGGGTTTTCACAAAATATTTATGAGATTTTATGACGGTAATAAACAAGATCCTTCTTCTTATTTCCCCTTGTGCGTGCATGCATACATGCATGCGAAGAGATCGATGAAGCAAGCCCAAACTATTCTCAATTTGCTAATCATATGATATAATTCATTTAATTTCCTTCAAATTGGGAAATCATTGAAAATGTGCTTCCTCAGGACCTTCAAAGAAGAAATCTATCTACCTATCTATCTATTTATCCTAAACCCAAGAAGCGAATGGAAGAGGGACAAAAAACAAAGAAAGAAGAACCTGGTATTGAATGAAGTGCAGGAAACGTGAGAAATTTCTGTGGATTACGAATATTAGCTTGCAGAAAGCATCTATCCCAAGGAAAAGCGTAAAGGATGCCCGCTCCTCTTCTCCTTCTCCTTCTCCTTCTCCTCTCATCCCCTCTCCTTCCCTCTCTGTCTCAAAAACTTTGAAGTTTAACGACCTTTCCTTCAAATTCTCTTGCCTTTTTAAGACAGATTATTTTTATTTATTGTTCTTGTCTTATCTTTCATTGTTACTTCTCTCTCTCCTCTTCCAGGGACTTGTGGCACGATTTCCGTTATTCCTAACCACCACCTTTTCTGTTTTTTTGTTTTTCCTTCTCTTTCTCTTTTTAAATCGTACATACACACATATATATATATATATATATATATAAGAAATATATACATAAATCTCTTTCCTTGAGTTCCGGTTTACCGCGCAACTAATTAAGCTGGGTTGGCCATATGATAAAGAGATAATCGGCCTGATAGCAAAATCCCCAAAAACCCAAGTTTTCTTTTCCTTGTCCGCATGTTCAAAAAAGAAGTTTATAAATATAATATTTTTTATTTAAAAATATATTAAAATAATATTTTTTTATTTTATAATTTATTTTTAATACCATCACATAAAAAATTAAAAATACTAAAAAAAATTGAAGTAAAAAAAATATTAATTTTAATAAAAAGCATATTGAATCATAGCCCGAAAATGTCACTTAATACTTGGGTGATTATAGTGATGAAGGAACCATCATTAATTTAATTATGAGATTAATTTTGTTTTACATCTTGAAATATATCACTTCCATTCTTCTTTTTTTAATTTGTTCTTCAAGAATTATCTTTTTGATATTTAATTCATTCCAAAATAAGTTAAATGAAGAAAGATAAAGCATGATTTCTTTTAATATGATGCCTCACTTAAATGCATTATAGGCTATTACAGTGCATGTGAGTTAGCACCTTCTTTTTCCATATAAGTCAAGAGAAGGTTTGTGTTACTTTGAATATTGTATAGGTAGGCAATGATTAAGTAATCAAGTAGTTTATGTTTTTATTGACTGGAAAATTATTGTTTTTATTCATTTTTATATAATAAATTTGTGAAGAAATCAAATGTACAACTAGAAAAATTAGAGGGGTTTAGTAATTGGTACACCATTAGAGGAATCAATAGATATAGATTTTATTTTACAAGGAGTGTTAGTTGAAATAAAAAGGTATGAAACATGGATGAATTTATTAACTTTACAATTACAAGATTTTGATGTAAATTTTTGGATAGACCGGTGTATCCACCAAGCTTGAATACACTATTTTGCTAATTTTATAACCTTACGAGCTTTAAATAGAGTGTCGATAGTTTCTAGAGAAGAAATGAATATGGTATCGAATTATTTAATCTCAGTCATGACAACATAAAAAATGTTAAAAAAAGGATGTGTAACCTATATCTTAGATTAATGGAAGGGAGAACTAGAATTGAAAGATATTCCTATAGTGAAGGAATTCCTATATGAGTCATCAAGGTTGCCATTCAAGAGAGAAGTAAAAGTATCTATAGACATCATTGACACGACTAAAAGATTAATGTCATCTCCCAAGTGCAGGAGTGTTGAAGTAATAAATAACCCGGCAAGACCGGGGCCGAACCACAGGAAGGTTAATTGTATAAATTATAGATGATAATAATACAACAACAATAACAATAATAACAATAACAACAACCATGACGACAATAATAATAATAATAAAAAAAGAAGGAGAAGAAAAAGAGAACTTTGACATGTAAGATTAATGTAAGGATTAAACAATGATAATAACAAATGTCAAGATTAGAGGTTCCAATAATGGTATGTCAAATAAGTATAGTATAAACTCTTATTATTCAATTAGAAACCACACACAAAGAAAGTTCCAATCAAATTATAAATTGTTAACATGATCACATTAGTTATCTTATTCGATTAATGCTAATACTTGTAAATCTCATCAAGCATTCATGATTATAACTTATGTTAACAACAAATCAAGTTCCTTTCATAGCTCAGGTGTCAGTTATACCATACAGTACGGGCTATGAACGTGCCAAGCATTTGTTGTACCAAGTGTTATACAA